GGAGAAAATGATGCCTTTGGAAGGTGGACTTTTATCGAATGATAAAAGGGTTGGAACACTTTCCCTATGAGGAAAGGTTAAAGCGCTTAGGGCTCTTTAGCTTGGAGAAAAGACGACTAAGGGGTGACATGATCGAGGTTTATAAGATTATGCATGGGAAGGAGCAGGTAAAGAAAGAGGTACTTTTCTCCCTTTCTCACAATACAAGAACTCGTGGGCACTCCATGAAACTGCAGAGCGGTCGGGTTAGAACGGATAAAAGGAAGTACTTCTTCACCCAAAGAGTGATTAACACATGGAATTCACTGCCACAGGAAGTGGTGGGTGCTACAAGCATGGACGGCTTCAAAAGGGAATTAGATAAGCATATGGAGCAGAGGTCCATCAGTGGCTATTAGCCACAAGGTATAGCTAGGGGCTCTGGGGCAAGTGATGCTCTGTCTTCTTGGTGCTTGGGGGCGGGGGTTAACAGTGGGAGGGCTTCTAATGTCCTGGCCCCACTGCTGGACCTCCTGATGGCACTGGTATTTCTGGCCACTGTGTGACACAGAGTGTTGGACTGGATGGGCCTTTGGCCTGATCCAACATTGGCGTCTCTTATGTTCTTATGTTCTTAAACCACTAGGCCATTCAGGTTTGACCCAGAGCATATCACTGATGAATATACAGTGGAGCAACCTGGAGCTGGCAGCCCTAGGCAGGGCCATGTGATCATGATTCTGTCAAAGCATCCGTTGTCTCTGACTACATTTTATCAGGTACATGTTTGAGAAGACATGGGGCGGCTGTGGCCAAATGCTCTTTATTAATGTGTTATTTGGTTCCAAGTACCCTTGCCAGTCTACAGGTGGGGCATGGAGACCTCCCAGAATTACAGCTGATATCCAGTCTACAGAGATCAGTTCTTCAGGATAAAATGGCAGCTTTGGAGGGTACATGGCGTTATACCATGGTGAGGTACCTCCCTTCCACAACTTCTATCCTCCCCAGGCTCCACCCCTAAATCTCCAGGAATTTCCCAAACTGGAGCAAGCAACACTAGGTCCAAATGATGCTGTCTGGAAAAAATAGTGATGTTTAAAAGAAGAGAGACTCCTGTACTGTCTGGGCAATTATACATTAATATATGAAGGCCAGGCTCATTAAAAAGCAGTGTCCTTTGCAAGAACTCTATCCGACACTCCAGGAAGGTAGAAGAAAAGCATGCAAAGCCCAAACACATCATTTTGAGAGAATTTATCTTCAGACTGAACTGGGAATAAAGGTAAAGGTTCCCTTGCTCGAAAGCCAGTCAAATCCGACTCTAGGGTTGCGGTGCTCATCTCCGTTTCAAAGCCGAAGAGCCAGCGCTGTCCGAAGACATTTCCGTGGTCATGTGGCCGGCATGACTAAACACCAAGGCGCACGGAACGCTGTTACCTTCCCACCAAAGTGGTACCTATTTATCTACTTGCAATTTCTTGCTTTCGAACTGCTAGGTTGGCAGGAGCTGGAACTAGAGATGGGAGCTCACTCCATCATGAGGCACCTGGGTCTCGAACTGCTGAACTACTGACCTTCCACAGCCTGCAGTTCAGCGTCTTAACCACTTGAGCCACCACAGCTCCTGAACTGGGAATAAGCTCATAGAATTTAGCATTTTATTACTCAGGTGAAAAGGTTATGTAGCACTCAATAACACCATTTTTATGCATTTCCACAAATGTTATATATTAAAGATGTTAAAATAATAGCAATCTCCCACCAGCCACCATTGCCTCCTCCCTGAGTGAAAAGTACTAGGTTCAACGCATGGAGAACTCAGACCACGAAATGCATTCAGATGCGTTTATTATACTTCACACAAGACACACAAAACAGCCCTATTTTTAAGTTTGGTAATCAAGGACCGATTGAAAATTGTTTAACTGCTTATATTTAAATTATCCTTCTTACTTCTGTATTTGCTTACTGTCTATATGGATAACTTGATATACGCCAATAAAAGCTATTTGTATTTGTAAGAAGCCGATATCTTTCTTAAGCCCTGGGGGTTCCATTGTCCTAAGTGTTGTAGTAACTTGCAATTCAGCAATTTCCCATTCCAGTCTGTTTCTGGAACTCCTTTGAAATAAAACAGCTACTTTGATGTCCCCCACTGAGTGCCCTGGGAGGCTGAAATGTTCTCCTACAGGTTTCTCAGTTTTGCAATTCTTTATGTCAGATTTGTGTCCATTTATCCTTTGGCATAGGGTTTGAGCTGTTTGCCCTGTGTAGAGAACTGAAGGACATTGTTGACATTTAATGGCATATACAATGTTAGAAGATGAGCAGATGAATAAGTCTGAGATGGTGTAGTTGATGTTGTTAGGTCCAGTGATTGTGTCATCTGGGTGTATGTGGCAGCAAAGTTGGCTTGTTGCAAGCTGTGGTACCAGTGTCCATGTTTAAATTACATGTTGTATTTTTGCAGCTGAGTTGTTTGAGATTGGGGGGCTGTCTGTGCGCTAGAAAAGGTCCCCCCCCCCAGTACTTGTAAACGAGAACTGTCATTATCCAGTAGAGGCTGTAAGTAGCTGATGATGTGTTGAACTGTTTCAGTTGAGAGCTGTATGTGACCACTAGTGGCATTCTGTTATTGTCTCTCTTGGGCCTGAAATGTTGCAGTCCAAACCTTATTCTGGGGTGCAGAGGGCAAGCTGTCAAACCAGTTCCTTCTTCAAATTGTCTTTGAAATACAGGGGTCTTGGTGGTAACCCAAATAGAAGCTTGGGGTGCCAGAACCAGAGTTCGGATCAGGCGCTGCTGTATGTCTTCTTGCAGGGGACAGTCTTCAGAGCATGGTGATGTGTCATTTGGGGTGGTCCAAAGATTGTTTGTGGGTGCAGCCTGGCCCTAGTGTCTGCCTGTGTGATTGTCCTGGGGTACTGGACTTTGGAGCAGCTGGCACAAGAACCATGCTTTGGTCCATGAAACAGCATATGTCCCCTCGAAGGGGAGAGTCTGCTGAACAATGGGGTGTATGAAGTGTGGTGGTCCAAACCTTATTTTGTGTGCACAGGGCAGTTCCTTATTAAAGTCTTCTTCGAAGTACGGGCTTCTGGGAGGCACTCTAAATAGAAGCTAGTGGCACTGGAATCAGTGTTTGGCCTGGGCACCACTGTATGCCATCCTGC